ATACTGTGGCTAGTAACTCATCTGACTCCTCAAAGCCTGTCCACCAACTACAAGGCACAAGTCAGGAGCATGATGGAATACTCCCCACTTGCCTAGATGAGTGCAGCCCCAACAACACTCAAGAAGCTTGACACCATCCAGGACAAAGCAGCCCGCTTGATTGGCACTACATCCACAAGCATTCACTCCCTCCACCACCGACGCGCTGGAGCAGCAATGTGTACTATCTACAAGATGCACTGCAGAAATTCACCAAAGATCCTTAGACAGCACCTTCCAAACCCACAACCACTAACATCTAGAAGGACAAGGGCAGCAGATATATGGGAACACCACACCTCCAAGTCCCTTTCCAAGTCACTCACCATCCTGACTTGGAAATATATTGCCGTTCCTTCACTGTCGCTGGGTCAAAATCCTGGAATTCCCTCCCTAATAGCATTGTGGATCAACCCACAGCAGCAGGAATGCAGTGGTTCAAGAAGGCAGCTCACCACCACCTTCTCAAGGGCAAGTAGGGATGGGCAAGAAATGCTGGCCAGACAGTGACACCCACATCCCACGAAATTAACAGAACAAAAAATAATGAGGAGGAGAAATCATTCAGTGAAACTATAGTTAAAGTGGGAATTGTATATTGAATTAATGAACATCGGGATTCATACAATAAATTCACAAGGGTGGGAGTCCTCCATTTCACCTGTGTTGGGAGGGGATTTTCCATTTTAGCTGCAAGAAGGTGAGAATTCACCATTTAACTGCAAAATACATGTAATACTGTCGAAGAGAGCAGCAGAGCTGCTGTTGCTGCAAAATAAATGCATTTTAAACAAGGAAACTATATAATCACATTAGGAAGAAATGGCATATGAAACAGTATTGCTAGGAAGACTTAATTTGGGAGATGGGCCAAATAGAACACAAAATTGGTAATCTTGGGAAAAACTTTGAGATGTAGGAAAGCTTGCAAATTAAATACTGCAATTTTTTTTTGAGATTGAGCGGAGGCAGGTTTAATAGTAGAAGGGACATCTGCACAGGGGCAGCTCAGGCTTCCCTGCACAGTTGCATTCTTCTGTGTTCTAGGGCTTGTTCTTATCTTCGGGACAACTCGCCAAGGTGCTTTCCTGGGTCTGGTCATTGTGATGCTCGCCACAAAGTACAAGGAGCTAGAGATATGGCTGGCAGTCAAAGGTGCAAAAAGCAGAGCAAACTGGGGCTCCAGATCCTCTGGCATTGTACTGAGCTGGGTGCCACCAAGTCTGTGTAGCATTCTTTTAACAATGCAGGTTTGCTGGATGTGTAAACAGCGGTTCGTTCTGAAACATTATTGGCCAAGCAGTTCCAGGTCTGTCTGGTCTCAGCGGGAAGTTGATTGTCCAAGACCTGGTTGCATGAATACTATATATTTCAGCTGTACAGTTTGCAAATAGCAGAGTCTGGCTTGGTTTACACTTGGTTTCCATATTTTGAGTTTTTATCCATATTTATTAAAAAATCAGTATTTCTGTAACAGTCTTGGGGCCATGGGTGACCTGAACGCAGTAGTGCCTCCATCTCTCATACCCCGGCAGTTCCCTGGGCACTAAGGGCAGCAAGGGCACAGAATGTATTTGGTGTGGGTGACCTCAATGGCTACATCTTAGAGTAGCACAACCACAGACCAAGGTGGCTGAATCCTAAAAAACATTGCTGCTAGCCTAGGTCTGCAACAGATGGTGAGGAAATCAACAAGAACACATATCTTCTTGACCTCATCCTCCCTGATCTGCCAGTTGCAAATCAATGTTTCTATGACAGTATCAGTAGGAGTGACCACAGCACACTCTGTGTGTACACAAAGTCCCATTATCACATTGAGGATACCCTCTATCATGTTGTCTATTACACCATGCTAAATGGGCAGATGTTGAACGAATCTGGCAACTCAAAATTGGGCATTCATCAGGTGCTGTGCATCATTTGCAGCAGTAAAATTGTGTTTAGCAATGATATATAACCTCGTGGCCCAGCACATTTTTCTATTCTACCTTTACCATCAAACTCAAAGATCAACCCTGTTTCAAGCAAGAGTTCAGAAGCATTACCAGGCCCATAAAAATAGGCAGGCAATATGGTGAAGCTACAATGCAGACTATTTGCATACCAAACAGTGAAAGCAGTGTGCAGTAATCAGTGCTACTGTTTCCACAACCCAATGGATCAGATCTAAGGTTTGAAGTCCTGCCATATCCAGTCATGAATGGTAGTGGAGGCTCCACAAATATGCCTATCCATAACAATAGAGGAGCCCAGTACATCAGTACAAAAGCCAAGGTTGATGCATTTATATTCACCTTCAGCTAGAAGTGCCGTGTTCATCATCTATCTTGGCCTACTCCAGAGGTCCCAACATCACAGGTCTTCAACCAATTTAATTCACTTTAATGATGTTGTATCAAGAAATGGCTGAAGATGCAGAATACTGAAAACATTATGGATCTTGACAACATTCTAGCAATAACACTACTTAAAAATTGAAAGAACTGCAGATGCTGTAAATCCGAAACAAAAACAGAAGTTGCTGGAAAAGCTTGGTAGATCTGGCAGCATCTGTAGAGAAATCAGAGATAACGTTTCGGGTCTGGCGACCCTTCCTCAGAACTGATGGTAGCTAGGAAAATGTTGGTTTATATACAGAAGATAGAGTTGGGGGGAGGGGATAAGGAGTAAACGATAGGTGGGGATAGAGCCTAAAGAGAAAGAAGAACAGTTGGACAGACAAAGGAGTTGATAACAATCTGACTAGGAGAGTGAATAGCTGTTAATGGAGACTGTTAGTGGCTAACAATAGGTGGTGTGTAATGGCAGACTGTGATAACAAGGCCTGGCGTGAGGGGTTGGGGGCTAGGACTTGGGGAGAGGTCAAGCCTAAAGTTGAACTCGATATTGACTTGGAGGACTGCAAAGTCCCCAACAGAAAATGAGGTGATGTTCTTCCAGCTGGAAGGGTTCAGAGGGATATGGGCCAAATGTTGGCAAATGGGACTAGGTTATTATAGGATATCTGGTCATCATGATGCTGCCAGACCTGCTGAGCTTTTCCAGCAACTTCTGTTTTTGTTTCTGAATAACACTTTTTTTACTTGTGCATCAGAACTAGCTCTGTTCCTTGTCAAGCTGTCCCAAGATACAACACTGGCAACTACCTAATAAGATTGAAAATTGCCTTGCTGTGTCCTCTGCACAAATAAGAAAAATCAAATGTGACCAGTCACCACTCAATTAGTCCACTTGAAATCTTCAACAAAGTGATGATCAGTTTTCTGTTGCCACCTTTCAGTTTCTGATCTCATTATTGCCTTGGTCCAAACAAGATGTGGAAAGTGTGAAATTGTCCATTTTCGACAGGAAGAATAAAGAAGATGCTATCCAAAAAGTGAGTGATTATAAAATTTCAAGATAGAGGAATCTGGGTGTCCCTGTGTAATAATTGCACAAGAGAAATTAAGAAAGCTAACAGGATGTCATTGTCTATCGTGAGGAATTGAATGCAAACATTTGGAGATTATTTTTCAAATATACAGGTCACTGGTGAGTCTACATCTGAAGTACTGCATGCAGTAGTGGTGGTCTTATTTAAGGAAGTATGTAAATGTATTGGTGGCATTTCAGGGAACGTTTACTACTTTACCTGGAATGGAGGAGTGACTTGTGAGGAAGGTTGGGCAGGCTTGTATTCACTGGAGTTTATAAGAGCGAGGAGTGATTAGATCCTGAGGGGTCTAAACAAGGTAGATGTGAAGGGGATGTTTCCTATTATGGGAGAATCTAGGTTGAGGGGCCACTGATTAAAAATCAGGCCTTGCCATTTAAAACACAGATGAGGTGAATTTTTTTTACTGAGTAGGTTGCAAGTCTTTGGAATTCTATCCTTGAAAAGGTGGTGGAATGCAGATTTATTGAATATTTTTAATGTAGAGGTGGACAGATTCTTATGAAGAAAGGAGGCAAAAAGTTATCAGAGGTAGGAGGGATATGGATTTGAGGTTACAATCAAATCAGCCATGATCTTGCTGAATGGCCTACACCTGCACCTATTTATGATTCTTGTGTTCTTATGGTCTTTAGAATGACATTCAACAGTTTTGCTGAAATATTGCATTCAGTTTATTCACAAAATAGAGTGAAACACTATCCGTAATGGCCTGCAAGTCACAATTGGCTTAGCTAGATTTGACAGGAGTAGTTGAGGGACAGGGGATGCCTTAATGTCTGTCATCATTGTATTGAAGGTTGGGTAACTTTACAGTACTCTTGTGGGCATGGTTGACTCTTAGGCTTCTTATTACTTGTACTTACCATTGCACAATTTGTACGTTGCTATGTCACATGCTTATAACAAGAGTAAAAGTACAACTCCAAATCAGGAGAATCTAGTGAACCTGTACTTTATCAAAACTCCTTCAATTGATAAACCATGAATGTGTGTTGGGTTTTCTGTACAGTTCTGCACAGACTATAGTACATACCATATCATGGCTTATTTGCTGTTCCCATAGCCTATACTGTGTGAATGCCATGGAAGGGCTTTGAGTGGTATAGATGTTATGAGGTGCAATGGGAATGAGTGGGGGCATGATTGGGCTCTGAGTTGGAGGTAGAAGCATGTAGAGTGTGGCTAAAACCAATTGACCTTTCCTTTCAAATGGTTCCTCAATCCACACAGGACACCCCTGGGTGCTATGAACCACAAATCATCTAGAAACTGACCTGACTGTATGATAATTGTGGAGGAGTAGGAGATGCCTAATCTTGCAAGTGAACCTGCACACTAATAATTTGCCAGTGAAAATTGGAGACTGTGAGAATTTGGGGGGTGGAAATCCTGAAATTTGTTCCTCCTGGCATTTTTGAATGCCTCTGGATTTTTTTTGTCTCTGCAAATATCTGGGTCTATGTGTATTGCATTTTGAATATCTTCTGGTGACATAGCTGAATAATCTTATCCTTTACACTAGTGCATCTTCAATTTTTCTGGATTTCAGTGGTTCAAGGCAGATCACCACCAACATCTCGAGAGCAATTAGGGATGGGTCATAAATGCAGGTTGAGCCAGCGGCAGCAACATCCTACGAGTGAATTAAAAATGAGAGATACTATGCAATCATTGGTAAGACAAGAGCTAGAAACAAATCACTTAACTGTTTTAGTTCTCATTGAGTGAACCCACAGAACAATAGTTGCAAGCGAGTTTTCTTAGCTGTGTAGTTATGGCTTCACTTTGTATAATACAAGTGTATGAACTTACTACTGTTGGTCAGATTGGTGTGCTGTCTTGCTTGAGATACAGGAATAACTCATTCAGTCAAAGTTTTTTCTCTCGGCTTCCTGTACAGAGATCTGACTGCCTTTGCAACCTCTGCACCTGACTATCTTTACAATATTATGCACGTAAAACTGATTAGCTGCCTTTGTTTTTTCATCTTGCGTTTTATCTCCTGATGGCCATGACCTCACCCTCCAATAGGCCTAAGGAGTTAATTGATTATAGAGGCAAGCTAATCAATTATATCATTTGGTTCTTGAGTCGATTTGTAGCTCGGGTTGTGGATGCTGTGGTTGGTTGGCTCACCAAGCTGGTTCGTTACTTCGCAGATGTTTCATTACCCGGCTGGGTAACGTCATCAGTGCTGCCTCCAGTGAAGTGCTGCTGTGTTTTCCCGCCTGGTATTTAAACTCTGGGGTCTGTTGGAATTGGTTATGTCATTTCCGTTTTTTCTTCGCAGCAGTGTATATATAGGGTCTAATTCTGCAAGTTTATTGATGACTTTCTTGGTGGAGAACCAAGCCTCTAGAAATTCCTGTGCTTGTCTCTGTTTGGCCTGTCCGAGGATCCTGATGTTGTCACAATTGAACTGGTGCTTCTTCTTTTCCGTGTATTGAACTGGTAGTTCTCCTTATCCGTGTGACTCAAACAGACCGCACAAGTTAACAAAGCCAACTGCCTAAAAATGAAACCTGAAGGGATCTCCTGCCACCCCCCCAAGATTCTATGGCCTCCCAAAAGTACACACCAGAAGTACCTCTCAGACCTTGTCAGCAAGTCACTCCATTCAGCCCAGGAGTTCCTCAATTCCCTCAAAGACATAAGAATACACGAGGACGAGACCGTGGTGTCCTTTGACGTTGCTGCTCTATTCACATCGATTGATGTACCACTGGCAAGAGAAACATTAACAACACTTCTAAAAGAACGAGACCCGAGTGACACCATCTCCACAGACAACATGCTGAAGTTACTGAACCTATGCCTCACGACCCACTTTACCTTTAATGGCCAAATCTATGAACAAATCAATGGGACATCTAAGGGGTCACCTATCTCCGGACTAATAGCAGAAGCAGTGATGCAGAGACTTGAAAGCATAGCCCTTCTGCAGATCCAACCTAAACTATGGATCTGATACGTGGACGACAATTTCGTCGTCATCTGGACCAAACTGGAGGAGACACACCAACTTATAAACAACTCTCTCACTGGCATCAAATTCACCAGGGAAGAAGAAAAGAACAAACTGCTCCCATTCCTGGACGTCATGGTAGAATGGAGGGACAACGGGGAATTTCTGACAAAGGTACACAGAAAGGCCGCACACATGGGTCAAGTCCTGAATTTCAACAGCAACCATGCCAACACTCACAAACAAAGTTGAGCAGAAAACACTATTTAAATGAGCGACAACACACTGCAGCAATCCAGAACTCTGCCAAAATGAAGAAGAATACCTGTACCAAGTATTTAAGGACAACGAATACCCGAACAGCTGGGTCTAACGGTGCCTGTCACACAAACAACAACAGGAAGATACAGTACGTCCTGTCACACTTGTCACGTTACTATACATCAAGAACATATCTGAACTGACCACAAAACTCCTATGACCATTGGGCATCAGAATGGCATGCAAACCTACGTCAACCCTAGGCCAACTGCTAACTCGAACCAACGACCCCTTACCCACTATGGACAGAACCAACATGATATACAAGATCCCATGCAAAGACTGCGACAAACATTACATTGGACAGACAGGAAGAAAATTGGCCACAAGAGTACATGAACACCAACTAGCAACAAAAAAACATGACTAATATTCACTCGTCTCCATTCACATGGATAAGAACCGCCAGTTTGATTGGGACAACATCAGGATTCTAGGACAGGCCAAACAGAGACAAGCACGGGAATTTCTAGAGGCCTGGTTCTCCACCAGGCCATCAACAAACACGTAGAATTAGACCCTATATGTACACCGCAGTGAAGAAAAACCACAAATGAGGTAACCAATTCCAACAGACCCCAGAGTTTAAATACCAGGTGGAAAAACACAACAGCCTCATGGCAGGCTGATACAGAAGGTAAAGTCGCACGGGGTCAGAGGTGAGCTTGCAAGATGGATACAAAAACTGGCTCGGTCATAGAACACAGAGGGTAGCAGTGGAAGAGTGTGTTTCTGAATGGAGGGCTGTGACTAGTGGCGTTCCTCAGGGGTCAGTGTTGGGACCTTGGCTGTTTGTAATATATAAATGATTTGGAGGAGAATGTAATTGGTCTGATTAGTGAGTTTGCCGATGACACAAAGGTTGGTGGAATTGCGGAGAGCGATGAGGACCGTCAAAGGATACAGCAGGATATAGATCAGTTGGTGACTTGGGCAGAGAGATGTCAGATGGAGTTTAATCCGGAAAAATGTGAGGTAATGCATTTTGGAAGGTCTAATCCAGATGGAAAATATACAGTAAATGGCAGAACCCTTAAGAGAACTGATAGGCAGAGGGATCTGGGTGTACAGGTACACAGGCCACTGAAAGTGACAACGTAGGTGGAGAAGGTAGTCAACAAGGCATATGGTATGCTTGCCTTCATCGGCTGGGGCATTGAGTTTAAAAATTGGCAGGTAATATTGCAGCTTTGTAGAACCTTAGTTAGGCCGCATTTGGAATATTGTGTTCAATTCTGGTCGCCACCCTACCAGAAGGATGTGGTGGCTCTAGAGAGGGTACAGAAATGATCTACCAGGATGTTGCCTGGTATGGAGGGCATTAGCTATGATGAGAGGTTGGAGAAACTTGGGTTGTTCTCACTGGAACTATGGAGGTTGAGGGGGGACCTGATAGAGGTCAACAAGATTATGAAGGGCATGGGCAGACTGGACAGTCAGAAGCTTTTTCCCTGGGTGGAAGAGTTAGTTACCAGGGGCCATGGGTTTTAGGTGCGAGGGACAAGGTTTAAAGGTGATGTACAAGGCAAGTTTTTTACACAGAGGGTGGTGGGTGCCTGGAACTCACTGCCTGGGGAGGTAGTGGAGGCAGATACTGTAGTGACTTTTAAAGGACGTCTTGACAAATGCATGGAAAGGATGAGAATAGAGGGATACGTTCCCCGGAAGTGTAGGGGGTTTTAGTTGTGACGGGCAGCATGTCAGTGCAGGCTTGCAGGGCTGAAGGGCCTGTTCCTGTGCTGTAATTTTCTTTGTTCTTTGTTTTTGTTCAGCACTTCATCGGAGGTTGCACTGATGATGTTACTCAGCAGGGTAATGAAACATCAGCAAACTAACGAACCAGTTTGGCGAGCGAACCAACCACAATTATATCATTTACTGTATTTGGAAAAAATTAACATTCTTTTGTTATGGTACTTTTTGAATACATTTTTTAGAAGAAGATAATCTTCTTCTACATTTGAAAGAATTTAATTGTGGGCAAACATGACGTGTAAATCCTGCAACATTCAAAGACCTGTTCTGTTCTGTCATTCCCTACTGCAACTGAGGTCCCCAGAACTTTGTATTGTATCACTAAATTTATTTCCTTTTCCAGTAGAAAAATCAGTAAAATTTTTGAATATTACAAATTAATTGTTTTCTCTTGAATACTTCCAAATTGAGCTCCCGTAAGTCCAGTTCATTGCCAAATATTACTGATTTTTTTTTCTATTTCCCCCTCTGGGTTGGGAGGGATTGTTGATGAAATGAACAGATCCACACTGAGGATCTGCAGTTCACCCAAGTCACAAACACTCCAATGGGAATCAAGCTGTCTTATATCTCAGTGCTCGTCTGGTGCTGTGGTGCTCTTCCTGCTACCCTTTGGGCCAGGTACACCTGTGTTCAAGTCCCATCTATTCCAGAGGTGTGTAATAACACCTCTGAACAGCTTGATTAGAAATTATCTATGTTATATCCCATGGTCACAATACTCAGTACAGTAGAGAAATAAATTGCTCCTGTAATGAGGAATGGGATTCAGTTTAGGAGTTCACACTGAATTTTGATAGATGTAAATGTGATTTTGTTTCTGTGGAATGTCAAAGGGACTGTGAGTGAGACCATGGTATCATGAGTGTTGACCTATTGTATTTGGTCCATTGTCACAAAAAATCACAAATATGTTGCTGATGCATTTGCTATATTTGAATCTGCAGCATGTAAGTGTTCCCTCCTTAATGGCATTGTGAGTTTAGCTACAGCACATGCACTGCACTGGTTTAAGAAGGTAGCTCACAATCATCTTCTCAACGGCAACTAAAAGCAAGCAATAAATGCTGGCCAGCTGGTGACACCCACATCCAACAAATGAATTTTTTAAAAAATTGCCTGACATGTCTAATATACTTGAACTCCTGTTTGAAATGGAACTATCAAATGAGCTATATTTCCTCATGTCCTAAATGAGAAATCACTTGGAAGCACTATTCAATCATCTAACCTAAATATATTTTCATTAGTTAAACAGTGAGATTTGTACAATTCCATCCACTATAAAATTGGCTTTTATCAGGAACCTCGTAACTGCCCTTGACCTATTTATTCACTTTGCTTCCTATTTCAGTTCAAGTTTGCATCAAAGGATAATGGCTACCCTCCAGATTACTTCTTGATGTATATTGCACAAACTCATGGAGGGCCCTAAAGCTCTGGTCCTGATAAGTGTCCAGTCTACTTCTGATTACCCCTGGAATGATGAGGTCTCTGCACAGCAAGTGAAACTGGCTGTTTTTATACTGCTACCATGTAGTAGCAATATGAGTGGTGTTCACCACTAACAGATGATGCTGTCAAGCCAAAAAGATGTTCTACCTGTCGTACAAATGTGTCATGTGGTATATGTATTTCAGTACTGATGTGATGCCAGGTATGCAGGTTGTACATTCCAAAGAGTGATCGATCACATCAAACACCATGGTCCTTTGGCTGTTGCCAACATCAAGATACCAGATCCAAGCAGCCTGTGCTTGTGAAACTCGCAACACAGTGGCTAACTAGATATAATTCTTGAGCTGGACAGCATTTGCTGTATGATCCTGAATGTGTGAGGAATTATGCTGATAACCAATTTAGGATTGTCACTCTGGATCATATTGCAGTTCACTTGTGTGGACTGGAAACTACCTACATTAATGCACAGAGCCCTGTTCTTTCAGGAAAGGCAGAGCATGTACTGCAATGTGCCTGCTTCAACTCAAAATAAATGACAGCAATTCACTGGTTCATTGGTTAGGGCATTGATCTGAAAAATCAGACACAGCTTTTCTGATTTTAAAATTTAAAAAAGCTTTTTTTTTTAAAACTGTTCAGCATTAATGAATGCATTTTCCACAGCAATACCTCTACCAATCAGTCTAGTTGCACTCATCCCCTCATACAGTATAAATATTGGTTTACCTTGAATTAGTATTCTTGCAAAAATCTGTTTTGAAAGTAAGACAAAGTGTGCCAACAAAATACCCAGCATTACTGAAATTCTGTACTATCAAATGACAACTGACATGTATAGTGGAAAATGCCAATTTTTAGTGCCAGCCATAACTAAATTGATATTCACGGAGGATGTTCAATGCTTTTTACAATTAAATGGTATCATCCACTCAGCTTATTTAATTGGTACCAATCGGGGAAATGGCTGTTGAGTTAAAATAGATGTAAGGTGAACTTTAAAGGTATTTTTTTCTAATATATTTTGTCTGTTTTTATGGTAGTTTTTCTGATTATTATCTTATTTGTTCAGCTAGGATTATGCATTAGCAGAGCTTCTGCTTCAGTCCTGAATATGAACTGCAGTCTTGTCCTGCTGCCCATGTGTCGCACTTTACTGGCATTTCTGCGAGGATCACAGAAGGTGAGTGAATGGAATCTTTAGTCAATAAAACTTAACTGTAGAAAGCAACCTTATTTGCAAAGATTTCAAAAAGATCCAACTTCAAAACAAAACTTCCTGTATAATTGTTTAATCTGTTAACTTTCCTTGCTCTTAATGACCCAAACCCTGGGCTGTTTTTTGTTTGTTAAAGAAACTATTTCTTCACACTCATTAAATGTGGTCAGAGTGGAACCATGTGGGATGTCTGTTTGACGCAGATGAGTTTCGCTGAAGGGTCTGTTTCCCTGTATGACTCTATGAGCCATCCCCTCGGGTGACATTTGTGACAAGAGAACATTTAATTAGGGAGGAGAGCGGCAGTGACACCCAGTCTAACCATCTCCTTGCCTCCACTTCCATTTAACACCAGATATTAACCTTGGGAAGGTTAAGTTGGGATCCTGGAAGGTGTTAACCAATGAAATTGCGGGATTCGCCACGTGTGGAACATGATCCAAAAATCCTGGTATATTTTCTTGCAGGTCACTGATGGAGGATGATCCCTTGTTCACACTCTCCGCCTGATCATAAAATCCAGCATCGGGAATTAGAGCCATGTTCCTGTCCTTTTTTTTGCTGGCATCCTTTCAACCTGTGATCTCCTTCCCGCCACCACTCAGTTGTGCCTGGGTACTTCCTTGATCCTGGGTCCCAGTAGGTGTCATACCGACAACAGCCATGGAGAAAAGACCAAAATAATTTCCCAGAAATGTGAGGGAATGTAGGTCTTTCAGGGAGAAATTGAAGAAATCAGTATTAGTAAAAAATGATGCTAGAGAAATTAATGGGGTTAAAGGCAGAAAAATCACCAGAGTCTAATAATCCGTATCCCAGACTACAAAAGGAAATGGCCCTGGAAATATTTGTGGTCATCTTCCAAACTTCTACAGTATCTGGATAGTTTCTATCGAAAGAAATGTCTCCAACCTCTGACAAGTAATTTAAGTGTTTAACAAGCCCTTATCCCATAAGGCCATAAGGCCATAAGAAGTAGGATAGGAGTAGGCTGTTTGGAGCCTCAAGCCCGGCTTATCTGACATTCTTCACATCTGTTTTCCTGGCCTTTCCCCACAATGATTCCCCTACTTAACATATTTATCTAGTCCTTAAATAACAAGGAGTTCCAAAGACTCCTTGAAATTCCTCCTCATCTCAGTCTTAAATTGGATCCCCTTTATTCTGAGACAATGTCCTCTTGTCCTACACTCTCCCATAAGGGAAACATCCTCTCAGCATTTACTCTGTCAAGCTTCTTAAGAATTGTATATGTTTCAATAAAATCACTTCACATTCTTCGAAGCTTCAGTGAGTAGAGTCATAACCTGTGTAGCCTTTGCTCATAAGACTGTACCAGGGCTCATCGTAGTGAACTTTCTCTAAACTATCTCTGATCAAATGATATCTTTCCTTTCAATAAGGGGACAACTCCAGATGTGGTCTCATCAACAGTTGCAGCAAGATTTTCCTACTTCTTTACACCAAGTCCCTTGAAATAGCATTCCATTAGACTTCCTGATTAACTGCTGCTCCTGTGTGCTAGCTTTGTTTCATTCATAAATAACCCAAATTTTTTTGTGTTGCATCTGTCTCTGGTTTTTCTCCATTTAAATCATATTTTGTTCTAATGAGCATCTTCACACTTTCCCACACTGTACTCCATTTGCCAACTTACTTAACCTGTTAATATCTCTCCGTAAACTGTTTGTACCCCTCTCATCCTGCCTTTTCACCTATTTTTGCGTCTTCTGCAAATTTACCTGCAGTACATTCACTTTCTTACTCCAAGTCATTAATGTATGTTGTAAACAGTTGAATTCCCAACACTGATCCCTGTGGAATCTGGCTGGTCATGAGCCGACAACCTGAAAAAGAACTCCTTATTCCCACAGGTTTTCTGCTCATCAGCCAATTCTCTTTCCATGCCAATATACTATCTCCAACACCAAGGGCTCTTATAACTTAATCTTTTTTGTGAGGTACCTTGCAGAGTGCCTTCTCGAAGTCCGAATACAATACTAGTTCTCCTCTATCCACTTTGGTTCAGATCCCTTTGAAGAAACTAATTTGGTCAGACACAATTTCCCTTTCATGAAGTCATGCTTACTCTGCTCGATTAGATTATGATTTCCAAATGTGCTATTAACTTCCTTAAATGATTGACAGTGGCTTAGTGGCTCATACTGCTGCCTCACAGCACCAGGGACCTGGGTTCAATTCCAGCCTTGGGTGACTGTCTGTTTGGAGTTTGCACGTTTTCCCTGCGTCTGCGTGGCTTTTCTCCCATAGTTCAAAGATTTGCAGGCTAGATGGATTGGCCATGTCCTTCAATGTCTGCAGTTGCTTGCTTACTGTCATTCTGGCTAATCTGTTTGCCCAGTTCACTTTAGCTAACTATATCCTCATTTCATTGTAATTCCCTTTATTTCAGTTAAAAACAGTTGTTTCTGACTCCAGTTTCTCGCTGTCAAGCTGAATATTAAATTCATTATGTTATGATGGAGAAAATCATGGTGGACTGCAGGACCTGTTCCTGTGCTGTACTGTTCTATGTTCTATGATCACTACTTTCTTGGGGATCTTTTACCCTCATTTATTAGACCTGCCTCATTACCTACTATGAGATTGAAGACAGCGTGCCCCCTGGTTGGGTCCAGGACATATTGCTCTAGGAAACTACCCCTAGTGCATTCTATGAATTTGTTTTTCATAGCTACAGTTTCCAATTTGAGTAACCCAATCAACAGGAAGGTTTAACTTATCTGTAATCGTTGCTGTATTCTTTTTACATACTCTGGATGTGACCTCTTCTTCTTGACTATACACCATTTACTGGTCTCCCTTAATTGACAGCAGGCCACTGCCAAGTGAGACACGTACCATGCTGCTTGTCAGAATTATAAAAGAGAGTGATTTGCTCCTCACCAGACTTTTCATCCAATTCTGCCACAAATCTCACCATAGCCTATGTCACTGTGTAAGAAACCACCGATTTTTATTTGATCTCACCTGATAACTGTTTGCTTTATTCTGGCGAGTCCAAGGCAAAAATGATCTGCAATTGGGTGCTAAATAGCTTTAGATTTGAGAATGGAAATTGCAGGTTTCTTTGTTTTCTTTCTTTCTGGCAACAAAATCACTGTTAATTTTTTTTGATTGGTACACACTTCACTGGGAGACAAATTAGCTTTGTGTTACAACAATCAAAACATATACAACAATCAAAACAGAACAGGTATTTGGTTCTGTTACGTTTGTTGGCGCCTGTAGACTGCAAGTTTGAAACAAACCAGTGGTCACTACATGATCTCATTCTAGCTTGACTTTGAAACATTCAAGGACTTGGAAATGAGGGGAAAAGTCAGAGAACAGCCGTTATCTATTTTATGCATTTTTGACTGTGATTGGTAATTTTATCCTTAGCCCAGGATATCTTTTGACCATGTTAGTCTCTTCATGGTTGACTAAGGTGAGGAGTAAGAAATTCAGACAATGATGGTACTCTCTTTCTTAGGTGATCAAATAGAGCTGCTGTCTTTGACATTGTACATATATGTGTGAAGAGGCTGCTTAATTCATATTACGGATTAGCCATGGCTCAAAGTGATCCAGCTGGCTTACTTGATTTTCAAAATGTTTGAATCTCCTTTCGTTGCATGTCACTCGTGATATATATTTAGGATGGCAGTATAGCAACTTCTGAGGCCAGCAAGAGGAAGATAGAGATTCTTGGAACTATTCCTAATTTAGACATTAAAACGCTTAATTATTATTATAAGTGCAGATTGATATGTATTTATAATTTTCTGTAATCAAGGAGGAATAGTTGGTTCAAAAAAAATTCAATCTATGATGTTGTCTTAGCATGTTTACATTTTCTATTGTAATTAAACTTGAAGCCACAGTCAGATGGAATTCTTGTTCCTGCTCTTGAGTATTTTTCCACGACTCTCTTGGAGGTGACTAGTAGGCTTATGGCCTAAGCAGTGTTTCTCTTTGCCAGATATTGTGGATACATAATGACATGCTAGCTGGTAAAAGACTAGCTTGTAGAAGCAAGAACTGCAGATGCTGGAGTCAGAGATAACACAGTGCGGAGCTGGAGGAACACAGCAGGCCAGGCAGCCTCAGAGGAGCAGGAAAGTTGACATTTTGGGTTGGGACCCTTGAGCCCCATATCACTCTTATCTTTTATAATTCTGACAAGCAACATGGTACATTTCTCACTTGGTAGTGGCATGCTGTCAATTAAGGGAGACCAGTAAATGGTGTACAGTCAAGAAGAAGAGATCATATCCAGAGTATGTAAAAAGAATAGACCAACAATTATGGACAAGTTAAACTTCTTGTTGATTGGGTTACTCAAATTGGAAACCATAGCTACGAAAAAGAAATTCATAGAATGCACTAGGGGTAGTTTCCTTGAGGGTCCCGACCCAAAATGTCAACTTTCCTGCTCCTCTGATGCTGCCTGGCCTGCTGTGTTCCTCCAGCTCCACATTTTTCTTTATTCGTAAATGGGATGAGGACGGCGCTGATCAGGCAGCATTTATTGCCCATCCCTAATTGCCCAGAGGGCAGTTCAGAGTCAACCACATTGCTGTGGGTCTGGAGTCACATGTAGGCCAGACCAGGTAAGGATAGCAGTTTCCTTCCCTAAAGGACATTAGACATTTTGTTATCTCTAGCTTGTAGAAGCAGTGTTTTGTGTTGAACCTTGGGAAATTATCCTCAATAGATAAAAAGTTTGTATCATGACCTAAAAATGCATTTATTTCCAATTTAGAAACTAATGAATCTCCCTAATCAAATTTGTGACATGACATGAACATGCCTTTCATCAGTCCTTTGACTCCTTCTTATACTCTGCGCTTCAAGTAGCTTTAATAACCTTTGCCTTGGTTGAGTGTTTGTTTATTTGCATTTTGCTAAAATAAAAACTGAAAATGCACTATAAATGCATTTAGAGATAGTAAGAACTG